AGGCAGTCCTGCCATCGGGCTTGCTTAGGGCTGAGCTTCTTCTGCGTTTGGAAGTAACTCGTTGCCACATTGTCGGTCTTGATCACGAATGATGACCCGAGAAGGTAGTGCCTCCATGTCCGAAGACAATGGACGATTGCCGTCATCTCCTTTTCTTGGACGGTGTACTTCTTCTCGGCGTCATTGAGCTTCCTGCTCTCGTAGGCTATGGGATGTCCTTCCTGCATAAGAACACCACCAATTGCAAAGTCGGAGGCATCGGAATGTACCTCGAATGGTTTGCCAATGTCGGGCAAAACCATGATGGGTTCTTCGGATACAAGGGTCCGAAGACGGTCGAAGGCGGCCTGGCATTGTTCTGTCCATTGCCACTTCCTGTCCTTCTTCAACATGTCCGAGAGAGGGGCTGCTATCGAGGAGTAACCGAGGATGAACCTTCGGTAGTAGTTGACCAATCCAAGGAAGGATCGCAACTGTGGGAGAGTCCTCGGTACAACCCACTCTCGGATTGACTTGATCTTCTTCGGGTCCATCAAGAGTCGTCCTTCCTTAACGTAGTGGCCAAGAAACTCCACCTCTTGTTGGGCAAAGCTGCACTTCTCGAGTTTGACATATAGCTCGTTGTCTCGGAGGACACTCAAAACGGTCCGAAGGTGACCTACATGCTCACTCAAATTTCGGCTGTACACAACGATATCGTCTAGATATACCACAACAAACTTGTCAAGATATTCATGGAATAGCTGGTTCATCATGGTACAGAATGTAGCCGGAGCGTTAGTGAGGCCAAAGGGCATTACCTTGAATTCGAAGGAACCATACCTTGTTGTGCACGCAGTCTTTGGTTCGTCTCCTTCGGCAATGCGCACTTGGTAGTATCCCGACCTCAAGTCGAGCTTGGAGAACACTCGTGCATCCTTGAGCTGATCAAACAAATCGGCTATTAGTGGAATAGGATATTTATTCTTGACCGTTACCTTGTTCAATGCTCGGTAGTCGATGCACATCCTTAGGGATCCATCCTTCTTCTTTTGGAAGAGAACGGGAGCGCCATAGGGAGCCTTGGAGGGCTGGATGTATCCGGCCTCTAAGAGATCTTCTAGCTGCCTCTTGAGTTCGGCTAGCTCGGGAGGGGCCATTCGGTAGGGAGGCATGGCTGGTGGTTTAGCTCCGGGGATCAGCTCGATGGCATGATCAATGCCACGTCTCGGGGGAAGCTTCTTGGGAAGTTCCTCGGGCATGACATCTGCAAAATCAAACAACACATGCCTTACCTCGGCCGGGATCGCTGGTTGATCCGGCATGTCCGTCTCTTCTCCTTGGTTGAGGTTTCGGACGGTGGCCAAGAAAGATTCGGAGTTCTTGACTCCTCTCTTGAATTGCATGGCCGTGAGGGTGGTGGATGCGGTCGGAGCAGCCTTGAGTTGGACTATGGTGGGTTTGTCCTTGTCGATGATCACCAATGTCGTTGTGGATGCGGGAATGAACGTGCTAACGGAGCGGAAGAACGTAAGTCCTAACACAACCCGAAAGTCGTCCATTGGGAGGATGGTGAAGTCGGTCTTCCCAACCCAATCCCCAATCTGAATCCGAACATCGCGGGCGATGCCGGACGCGTTTTGGGCAGGCGAGTTGACAGGCTTCACCGTTCCTCCACTCCCGTCCACTCGGAGTTTCAACCTCTTAGCTTCTCCTGCATCCATGAAATTGTGTGAGGCACCGGTATCAAACATGACAGGAACGATCTTACCGTATATCTCTACGTCTGCGTAGAGGAGTCCCTTGGACTTGGTCTCGGTGTTCTTGTCATCCTCGGGGATGGCTGGCTTGGACAGCGTCCCAAAGCGGTGTAAAGACCCGACGATGGCTTGGCCTTCGTCCTCGGTGACCTTGCCCTTGCCCTTGCTTGGTTGGCTGGTCACTGCGTTCATCTTCTTCTGTTTTGGGCAGTCACGGACCCAGTGAGGTCCTTGGCATAGGAAGCATGGACTCGGGGGAGGCTTGGCCTTTCGGTTGGGCCCATTGAAGCTCCCTTGACTAGGTCTATCTGTCCGTGGCTGTCCATGATGAGAGGGGTTCGGACGCGGCCTGTTCCCGTCTCTCGGTTTGTGAGGGAGGTTAGGACGAGTTGCGCTGTAGTCCGTGAGTCCCTCTACAACAGAAATAGCTGCATTCAACGTGTTAGCTTCCCTCCTATTCACTTCTAGACGAGCAAAGTCTTTTAACCCGTCTTTGAAGTGAAAGAGGGCGTCTTGATCACTAACATCACCAAGTTCGAGTAAAAGGGAAGAGAATTCTCGGACATAGTCCGAGATACTTCCTGATTGTCGAAGCCTACGGAAACGTGTCCGTATCTCGTCCCTTGCATTGGAAGGCACGAATTGTTGACGCAAGGCAGCCTTGAATTGATCCCAAGTGGTGATCCGGCGCTCTTGGTCCAACAAGGTCCTTCTCCACCATAGTTGTGCTAAGTCTTGGAGGTAGTTCCCGGCGCCCTTAACCTTGGCCATCTCACCCGTGACCCCTGCACCATCAAAGTACTGTTCCATACTAAAGAGAAAAGATTCTACCGTAGAAGAGTTCCTCGCTCCATTGTATGGCTTTGGCTCGGGTCCGCGGATGACTTGCTCCCTCGGTGCATGGTCTCGGTCATGGACAGGGGCTTGTTGCACCATCTCACGAAGGGACCTGCATTCACGAGTTAGATTATGGACTAGGGTACGTAGATCACCTACCTCGCGGTCGTGGTTCTCACGAACAAGACGAAAGTTTTCGTCGGTCATGTCTCTATCGGCTCGGGCTTGCTGCTCCAAGTTGTCTAGGACATGCTTGGTCGACTCACTCACAGCGGAGATCTCCTGCTCAAGACCATCCGTGCGTGCGTCTTGCTCAACCTCGGCCTCCTCAAGAGCCCGCAGACGTGCTTCTACGGTTCCCGCTTGGGCCTCGGTTGCGCGTGCTCTAGCTCGTGTCGTGGGACCGAGGTCTGTGCCTCGTCCACGCCCATTCTCAGTCTCGGATTGGTGCTCCAAGGACTGGTTGTTGACTCCATCTTGGCTCGACATGGTGTCGAATCTCTTGTCTTCTCTCGGTTCTCGGAAGGGTGTGTGTTGCGGAAGCGGTGATGAGACCTGGTCCGTTTGTGAGCGAACCAGGCTCTGATACCACAAATGTCACGGGCCTAGGGTTAGATTAGGCTAATCCGTGAGGCAGCTGGGCCTGTGGGAAGGTCCGAGGGCGATCCGAACGTACTGTGGACGTGTGAGGATGCCGAGGAGCCCAACTAAGCCGATCTCAAGGGTTTGGCCCGAGAGATTGCGTGTGGTTCGCGGGGAAAAACTGGAGAAGTCCGAGAGATTGAGGGAAGAGAACGCCGACGGTACGGCGGGGTTTTATTATTAATCAAAGAAAGAGTACAAGGGGATCGGTGGCCCGTAACAAGCTCTACACGCGGTGGTTGGAAAGCCGCCGGTGGAGAGGAGCAAAGAAGATGGCCACCGATGTAAGCTAGGGTTTCGGAGCCTTAGGAGAAATTAGGGGGTTTTCGAGCTTAGGTTTCCCTCTTGTGGCCGGCGCCTCTTTATAGGTCTTACCACATCTCCACAAAAAAGGAAACTTAACAATTCTACTTCCCTTATTTCCCATTCGGACCCTACTTGCCTAAAACAAGAAAAGAAAGACCTAGAACATGCCTAAAGTGAAAAGGAAACACGCCTAAGTATTCTAATGGGCCATGGGCCAAGAATTGGCCATGGACAAAGCCTCGGACACGTCCATGAACTTGTCATGGACCATGGACGAGGTTTTGGGCCAATCTTGGTCATGGGGTGGTCCGAACGTGGCCTGGGCTTGGACGTGGCTTGGACGCGAGCTGGAGGGTGTCAAGAGGTCTGGGATGGGTGGTCCATGTCCGTCCTTGGTCCTGGGCCGGAGTTGTCCCGTGCTAGAGCTTCTCGGGTGCGTCCGCAAGAAGATGCTGGGCTGGCCGCAGAATGCTGGACGGGTGCGGACTTCCTCGGACGCGTGCGAAGCAAAGTGTCGAGCTGGCCGAGGTTTGCTGAGCAGGTCCGAAGTTTCTCGAGCTGTGCGACAGGATTTCTCGGACGCGTGCGGAGTTCCTCGGTAGCGTGCGAGCTTCCTCGGTCTTCCGGTCATCCGTGAGTGTACCTGTACGAACGGATGAACGAGAAAAAGAAAAGAACACGGGAAATGAAAAATTACCCATTTTTCCTCCTGACAATTAGAATAAACTAAGGGGACGTAATGCTTTGGTTTAGGAAGATGATTGATATGAAAAAATGTTTTTTTTTTCTTCTGGGTATCGAACCGTTCTTTGATTCTTCAAGAAAGGAAGCATACGCACAGTGAAAACAGGGAGGGAATTAGCTGGAAAGCGAAAAGGGCCAGTGCCAAAATCACAAAAAAGGTTTCTCCTTTCGTGACCAATCTAAATCCACATAAAAAGACACAACACATGAACTTGAAACCATCCGAATCTTACACAGTAACATGTTTCAGGAGATATCCTTCATGGGTCCAAGTCTAACACAAACAAGATATAACCCTACAAAGATGTCTTTGATGAGACCAACAGAGGGGTGAGCTGAGCTAATTAATCATCATCACTGGCTAGGAGAGCGGTCCATGTTCTGCCCCCTGCCGTAGTTTTCACCTCCTCCTCGAGGGCTCTGGCTGCGGCTCCTGGCTTGTTCTGGAGTGTAGCTCCTTCTTCTTCTCGGGCTCTGGCTCACGCTTCTTCTGGGGCTCGGGCTTCTGCCTCTCGGTGGACTTCCACTGCGTCCCCTTGAGCCATTGCGGGCTGGTGACCGTGAGTACGACCTCTGCCTCTCATCTCGGGGCGAGACAGACCTACACCCAGAGGGGATCATGTTATAAAACGGGCGGTCCAGTTGACAGAAATGTTTTTATCAATGGAAATCGTGATAAGCATTCTCCTTCAAGATCAGCACCAAAAAATACTTGGATGAGCCACGATGCTGATGCCACAGCTTAATTGAGAATGTGTGTGATTCCTACCTTCATCACACATTGCATGATTTCCAGACAAAAACAAGGTAGATAGATAGATAGAGACCTTGAGTGATGCCTCCTAGGGGGAGGAGAGTAATAGTCACGGCTTCTGGATCGAGATCTACCACGCCGGGGAGGTGGAGAATGAGAATAACGAGGTGAGCGTGGGGGGCTACGCCTTCTATCACGGAATCTGCTCCTTCAAACAATTAAAGACCGAGAATCTGTGACATTTCTTGAAATCGTAGACAACTCTTATGCCCACAAGGCACTGACCAAAGCATCACATGAATGTAGAAAAAGATGTAAAGAAGATAAGGTCAGTCATCTCACCTTCCTCCTCGGTCCCTTGCCCTCATTTCGGTTGGCTTCTTTCTGTTCTCTTCGGCAAATACGACAGTCAACTCACGGCCAAGAAGAAGATACCCATCCATGTGATGTTTTGCCTCAGCAGCATCTGCAGGATCCACAAATTGGACAAAGCCAAACCCTCTTGGTTCTCTGCATAAAAGACAAAGAGAGGGAAAACATCTCATCAGACTAGAAACCAAGAAACCAATCCACTCAAGAAATGTACCTATCTGTCAATAAGCGTTGGAATGAAACTTGAGATCCCCCCTGCAACATAAGGCATGATGATAAACTGGAAAAGCAAGCACTTGCCTGCAAACCTTGCAAGACTTGATACATCTTCAAATTGAAATCAAACCCACTTCCTTCCAATCTTCATTTACCATTTACATCATCTTCAAAAGAACTCTAATTACTTCTTTGGTGTCTTCAATTCTCTAGTTTCACTGTTGAACCTCAACAAGTTCAATTAACACACTAGAAGGGTGGTCACATGTAAAATACCATCAATGAATCTTTCCAAATGCAACAAAAAAGGATGGGATTTTGGAAGTTAACATAAAACAATCCTAAGGTCCATAAGCAACACGCAGAGGGTAGGGAATGGCAAAAGAAAGAAATAGAAAGGTGTGAATAAAATATCCAAGAAAGGTGGTTTAGAAAGAAAAGGTTTGAGATACTACCCAACCAAAACACTTATGCATCATCTTATACACTGGACTTGCTCACCCGGAATAATAATCTCTCGGCAGGTAGATATCTTTGAGAGGACCAAACTGCTCAAAGGACCTTCTGAGATCTTCCGGCCTGCAAATACAAGTAGGGAGGAGCAATGAATAAAAGATCTGAAAGCCATTGAGAACACGTTACATGCATTTTCTTTCTGAAAGCCTTTGCAATAAGGGAGAAGCAAACAAAGTACCTGCAATCATGGCGTAGGTTGCGGACCAAAAGACTTGTAGGCAAGTCTCTGCCACGGCCCCCATACCGTCCTCGAGGGCTAGGGCTCCCCCCCCCCCTGCCATAACCCCTCGGCGGTGAAGGAGTGTAGCTCCTTCCCCTCATGGAGAATATTCAACCTCTTCATCAATCAATGGAATCGAGTTAGAAAACAACATCAAGATAAGATTGAACGATATAGAAAGAGAAAAAACACAGACACCAAGCTCAACCGCCCTAGAACACTCGGGAAAACAAGTGCCAAGGATAAGGATTTCATTCAGAGCAATGCTTGTTCAACTCAGGAAAACCTTAGCAATGGGCTACGACCCATAAAAGTCGCAATCATTTTTACAGTGACTAAGCCATTATCAGTCTTATGGCGAATATTTACTCAGAAATCGAGGTACATGATCGATTTGACAAGACAGGGATAGATAACAGATCAAAACTCCAAATTTCCCTCACGATAACCACGACATGCCCCCCATTGCTCCACCGGGCTCTGACAGCGCCCATGATGAAGGAAAGAAGAAAGAATAGGAATACAACGAAGCTAGGAAGAACAAGGAGAAGACGAAGAAGTTTACCGGTGATGAAGCGGCGCGGAATCGAAGTGAGAGAGAGGCAGAGGGAACGAAGAAACCCAGAATCTCGTTATGGTCTCAAGGCGAGACATTAGGGTTTCTTTATACTTTTGTTTTTACATTTTTGCCTCTCAAAAATATTTGAAATCTCCATTTTCACCTTAAACAATTGAAATTACAAATTAACCCAGATAATTATGGAACGAAAGGCTATGGGGTTACAAGGAAAAAAATAAAACAAGAGAGACTGCATAAAACTTTAATGGAATGAAAAAAAATTGATGTGGTATTGAGTTTATTATTTGGTGGGTCTTTTTAATACTATAGACAATTTGAGCCAAAAAAGGGATTTTCCAATATTTTGGTAGTGAAAAAGGAAATAAAGAAAAAGAAACCCTAATAACCCGTTGGTCTGATATTTTAAGGAGGATTTAGGTTTCATCTGTTTTCATCATTTCTCTCTTGTGCTGCGCCGCCTCCGGTCGTCTCGTTCTCCGTCTCAACCTTCAATCGTCCCCGGTAAGTCTCTTCTTCTTTTCTGTCTCGAATCCGACTATATCTCCGGTGGATCAAGTGGCGCGGCCGCTAACACCGTGGATCTGCGGATTTCGGACGAATTTTTCGTGAGAAGTTTCTGAGTTTCGATTTGTTATAACCCTATTTGGCCTCATAGGTTTGAAATTCTGAATCCGTATGAAAGTTTCGTGACATTATCTTGTGATCTAACATCTCAGTAGTTGAGAGAATTCAAGTGTGTTAATCACTGTCAGTGAACGCTTAAATCTCTGTGGATTATGGCTACTGCCAAGGTTGTTCTTTTTGGGATATTTTCTTAAACCACTTTGGTATTGCAACGCATATTCAAACTATACGTAGTTAAATGTCATCGCCCAAAGCTCGATCATGAGATTTTTTGAATCGATTGAATTTCGAGGAGTTGTTTATTGAAAGAAATGTTTATACTCCAAAGATGAATTTTTTTCCAAGTGATATATAAAGCATGTTTTCTGTGATAGCTGTCCCTGGATTTCTGTCTTTAAGAATACGTGTGATTGAATTCAAACTCTTGTTTACTATTCTGATGAAAGCAGGATAGGGTATTGTTTTTTGGTTCTGTTACAATTCAGGAAAATGACTGAAGCCATTGTTCCTGAGTCGGTGTTGAAGAAGCAAAAGAGGCAAGGGCAATGGGAGCTTGCCAAGAAACAAGAGCTCGAGGCTGATAAAAAGAAAAATGCTGAGAACCGGAAGCTCATTTTCAACCGAGCTATGAACTATGATAAGGAGTACAAGGAGAAGGTATAAATCTTCTATTAATTGATTTTGCGATTTCACTTCTGAGAGAAACCTTAATTCATGGAAATGTGCAATATCGGTTTCTCCAGGAAAGGGAATTGATCCAGCTGAAGCGTGAAGCAAAGTTGAAAGGAGGCTTTTATGTGGATCCCGAGGCAAAACTGCTCTTCATTGTCCGTATCAGAGGGTACGAGCCCTCTAATATCTTGAATCAAGCATGGAGCATGGTTCTATTCTTTGTACTGATTTCTTACGGTGTTCTTATCTTGTTGCCACCAGTATCAATGCTATTGACCCGAAGACTCGGAAGATTTTGCAGCTTTTGCGTTTGAGACAGGTAACCATCTTATCCTTAGGACTTTTACCATTAAAGGCCAGTTTACATCTATCAATTGAGTCATCCCTGACGAGGTGTTGTTTTTTTGTTTTTCAGATCTTCAATGGTGTCTTTCTGAAGGTTAACAAGGCAACTATGAACATGCTTCACCGGGTTGAGCCTTATGTGACCTATGGGTACCACTTTTTTCCTCCAATTAACGCACTGGTTTCAACTTGGGATTAAGGCGATGTTGATGTTAATGATGAACGCACTTGTTTCGCTTTTATTTTCACAAGCAATAAACCCTTCTTTTCACAGATACCCCAACCTGAAGAGTGTGAAGGAATTGATTTACAAAAGAGGATATGGAAAGCTGAACCACCAGAGGATTGCTTTGACAGACAACTCTATCATCGAACAGGTAAATAACATACTATATCCTCTTAATAGGTCTGGTTGAAACCAAGTTGTGGTTATGAGTGCATATATCGACTCTCAAGAATCTTATTTCGCAAGGTTTAAAGATCAATGCTTGAGTAGGTATAAATATCGTTCCCTGCTTAATCACGGCTTTGCCATTGCGAGCAGGCGCTGGGGAAACATGGGATAATATGCACGGAGGATCTCATCCACGAGATAATGACGGTCGGTCCTCACTTCAAGGAAGCCAACAACTTTCTGTGGCCATTCCAGCTCAAGGCTCCGCTCGGGGGGCTGAAGAAGAAGAGGAACCACTATGTTGAAGGAGGAGATGCCGGGAACAGAGAGAACTACATCAACGAGCTCATCCGCAGAATGAACTAATACCATAATAAGCTCTCTTTCTCCTTACTCATATTATTACCTTCACATAGGTTCTATGCGTTTAGGCCGTGAAAGATTGTTTTTTTTTGTTTTTTTTTTTTTGTTATCTCTGGAATTTTGGCTGTGTTCTCTGACTTGTTTGGCCTCTAGGAGAGCTACCATTTTATTTAATTCGGTGGAACCAAATTTTGAAATCGTGTTTTGACGTATGAATGTATATGCCAATGCAGATCACCGTTATCATTATTTAACACCATATTCAAGTTAGATATTTTTGGTAGAGGGTAAAATTGTTAATTTTTTTATAAATAATTTATAAAATCTAAAACGATATCTATTCTTCATTTATTTATAAACGAGGGACTATGTTTTAGTCATCAACCTTCATGGTGTTAGTGGAATACCGTTGCATCCGGCTAATGTTTTTTTTTTTGCATTAGTTGCATAATCATGCAAAACTTAATTTGTCTCGAAAACTCATCGCAAGCACCCATGTGCTTCATTCATGACCACCAGATTCAGAATAATTAATTAATTAATTAATTCCCCGGATCTTATTTTCCGTAGTACCTTGTGTTGGTGCCGCCTTTGGTTTTTCAAGAAACCTGTTCAACATTTATGACATAAGAACAGAACTCTTTACTGACACTTTACAAGTCAATATCTACGTGGTCCGGAGTACAGCTAGTTGTACTTGTCTGCGAACCACAAGGAGGTATCCAATAAGAGATTCCATTAAAATTTAAAACCCACAATGTGAAACTTCATCATCAATTTTTTTGGATACATCGGGGAACCTGTCCTACAACCCTTCGGGTAGGACACCGGACACCGTAACATCTCACAGTTCAATGGGCCGGACGAGGACGACATCGCAGACCAAGGAAAACCACAAACTCACGCGCACGAGCCTGCAACACACACGCGGGAGGTAAATCAGTCGTAACTGACAGACGACATGTGAGAGTTTTAAGAAGGCGGTAGGGATCGAACCCCAAACCTCATGGTTTCTCGCCATGCCCTTAACCATCTCACCTGGAGATTTTCCCCCTTCATCATCAGTTTTCATGTTTCAAATTCACCATTCCCTTCCCTCTACATTATTCTTCTTACATAGATTATAGATATTCGATATTCGTGAAAGCTTCTTAAAAAAAACCGAATAATATACAATAATATCCGAACTGAACCCCAATTGAAATATAACAACCAAATGTAAAAAATAATTTGCGAGGTTTTAAAACAGGCATGATCAATGATCATGCTTGTTTTTTTTTTGTTACAAATGCGTATTTTACTTGAACAAGTTTATTTGTTTTGTTTTTTTTTCCCCAATAAAATCAGAATTTAATATGAAATATCCGAGAAAAATAATCTAAAACTGAATTTCTTAGGTTATTGACTCGGGAAACCATAGGTCGAGTTTCTCTTTAACTTATATATATGCAGTCGGTACAACTATATATCGAATGTGTATTTCATTAATTATTTCTACTATATATAATATGATTAGCTGTTGGCACTTATCGCTAATCATATGCATTGTCTTTTAATAAACTATACGTAGTGGTATAAATTAATATTTTTTCTAGATCTTCTCCTTGTGTTTCGAAATTGGAATGCATGCATTGTGCATTATCGCACCAAGATTTCGCATTAATCTAAAATCACGATGATTTTAATAATTACGTAATTATGTGTGCTAGTTGATTATATAATATCAGAACTGAACCGATCTCTATCATGCATACGTACGTACGTATGTATGCATGTACGTGTACCTATTTTGTTGTACGTGTGTGTGTATACGCGCGCATGTTTGAACGTATATACAAACGTATGCGGGAGTCTACACGTACGATACAAGTCGGTACGCAGCCGTATGTACGCAAGGGGTCAACGAGAGAGACCGTGGCCGGACGCATTAATCCACTGAGGGACGGTGCACTGCTGCCGCCGTGGTGCTTTTGTCTCCATCCAAGGGAGGCATGAAAAGACGCTTTTACCCCTGAGGGGATGATCCTACCTGTCAACATTTAATTCGGCCTTGTGTTTTCCAGCTGTGCTCTGGCTGTTACGCTACCTCCCCCCTTTGACTTTCTTATCCTCATGTGTTCCTCATTAATACCCAAAATTATCAATTTTGTTTTTATGCTCGGAATACATTATTAGCACAAATGGTAGATTGTGATCTTTAGGTAGAGCAAGAAAATTTTGATATATTGGAAGTTTTCTTATAAAAAAAATGCTAGCTACTTTTTGGAAAAGATTTCAATAAGATTTGAAATTTGATCGTATTAGGTCTCGCGTGTATATATGATTCTTAAAATATGTATCCAATTACAATGGATTTGATATAGTTTATGGTTAATTAATTTTAGTTTGACTTGGGTAGAGTTTCAAATATATATTTTTTTAATATATATGTTTTACTCTTGCAAAATTTTCTAATAAGATTTTATGTTTTTATATTTTAATATGATAATCTGAGGTTAATAGTACTGGAAACTCGTGCTCCATCGTGAAGTTTTAAATCTAACTCGTTAATCGGGGATAGAAAACACACTAATTTATGCGAGCCGGATAACAAATCTCGAGTTTCGTGTTTTTAAGTAGATTCTCGTAGAAACTGACGGCTGTCATTTTAGATACGGTTGTCTCTGTGTTGGGGTACGGTCGTACCTCATCCAGACATCACTTCGTGTTTCAACATGAAGGTGACACGTGTCAATCTGTACGGCAGCATCAAAGCTGCGGGGAGATATGCGAAGGAACAAAATCTAATCATTCCAGCATGGTCAAATCCGGTAGTTATGAGAAAATTACCCTACCGTCCAATCTTGTAATCTGATTTCGTAAGGTTATTTAAATCTGTCCTACGATCGAATATTAAGTTTCGATCCAATTGTTATCAGCGATTTGTAAGGATAGTAAATTATTGAAATTATATATTATAGATACTGAACCGACAGTTGCAGAGAGCTTAATGCTGCGCTTTCTCTTCAATGATCTATTTTACGCTTTAAAATATTTAATCTTCAATCCAGATAATGAAATAAAATTAAATCATAGTTTCATTCAGTGTACTCACGATCCATTATAAGTTGTATCTCACAAAAAAAAATATTTTAAAAAAAAATTCGTTAGACCCTAAACTAAACCTCGACCGTGTCATTTGCTTTTCTATTTTTCGTTCTCTTTCGGTTTTCGTCATTTTATTCCTTATGGAATCATGAGATATGCATATATATATATATATATATATATATATATATATATTTGTTTAGACGGTTCACCATACGCGCATATGTACGGTGGCGTTACTGTATGTATCATGTATGTATGTATGTATGTATGTATGTATGTATGTATGTATGTATGTATGTATGTATGTATGTATGTATGTATGTATGTATGTATGTATGTATGTATGTATGTATGTATGTATGTATGTATGTATACTGAATTTTGTTTAGACGGTTCATCATACGCGCATATGTACGGTGGTGTTACTGCTTTCCGACACGTAAGACGTATTTCTTTTTTGGGATAATTATTCAATTATTCTGCGAGCAAGTTCAATTATTTTATATTTTCTTTTGTAAATACGCGTGGATTCAAAAGCAATATGCATGCAACATCCATCCATGTTTCGCCCTTTGTGCATGTAAGTATGCGTGACGTGTAAAGCTACGTACGTGACCTCTTGTTCAGACTCGCTTTTATTTTATTTTATTTTTAACTCACTTTCACTAAATTTAATTTGCTTATTATGATATCAATGAATATCCAATAATAACGAATTTAATACCAGTTCATATAAAAATATTACATTTAGATAAGTTACTCCTATTAATTATTTTGGAGTATTGCAAATAGTTGAATGATAAAGAAAAAGACAAAGATAATAGATAGGAAACCAATTATATATTAATATTTAATCAATATGATTAAGCATTAATTTATTAATTCTAATAAAATATATATTATGAGATATTCTGCTTGTGATATATTACATAATAAGAAAGAAAAGCCAATTTATTTAGAGTCCAAGTAACGAAAGCTGCAACTTAATTTAAAAGTTCCATCTTGTTTCCAATCATATGATAATTGGAGGGACATAAACAGAGACACGTCGCTCTCAATTTCATTAGGTATTAAAATACTATATATTATATGTTTTAAAATTGAAAAATTGATAGGTAATGTATTTTAAAATTTTAAATATTAAAAAAAAGAAATCTCTAAAAAAATCACCCTATACTAGCCAGAGAATGTTGCATCAATAAAATTTACACTTGATTTTCTTTAAAAAGTATTTGAAGATGTGGAAAATTCAGGAGCTGCTTCATTATTACAATAGTTATTTTTATAACCCGTTGTTCATAATTTTCGTTCGGATCATATCTAGAAATAATTGGTTATAATAATCGGCTACTATAACAGACACACATGTGTATATATCGTTGAAGACATTTTCTTGCAATAAAATAATTAGGACAGATAATACATTTACACAATAAAGTGTCGTGTGACGCGGACCTCGAATGTTCCGTTTCTCACTAACAACAAATATAGTTAATATATATATATATATATATATATAGCATTATCGTTATTTAATTCAATATATTTTGTTCTTATTAACGCACCAGTGACTGCCCTCGGTGTTTTTGTATAAAGTGGTCACTACGAAAGGAAGAAGGAAGTTTCATTAAATCATATATAATGTCCAAAATATGGTTTTATTATTATTTTTATTAGCAAAAAGGACTTGGAAATGCAAAAGTCCAACCCAACAAATATTCACCCAATTCCACGTTTGCAAATACGTCACCTAATTGTGTATTAGCTTATATATATATCATAAAAAGAAATGTGAGAAGATGAATATTTTGGGTTTTCATTATTTAATATATCTAATTAGACAAAACTATGACTCGAAAGATGGAGGACGAGAGCACCAATTGAAATTATATTTCAATTAATTGATTATTTAAGCAAAATATCGCAATAAAATCACTGTTTTATTTTTTATATGTTTTTATTTTAGGAGATATCTTGAAAGAGTAAACGGGGGAAATTTTAGAATTGGACTTTTAATTTAACCTCGTATGAATCCTCTAAAAAGCTACAAACACGTGTTTGGAAATAATCGTCGCCCCTCTCTCTCTCTCTCTCTCTCTCTCTCTCTCTCTCTCTCTCTCTCACACACACACACACACTCTCTCTTTCTCGCCATTATATAACTCCATTGCCGAAGAGCTTGTAAGCTTCAGACTTACATTTTCCCTGTTTTCAAAAACGAAACCCGAAAAAAAAAACTAAGGATCGTCGGTTGGAGGAACAGAGAGTCAACAAAAGAAGGTCCGAGAGGAATAATCGGAAAGCTTCGACATTTCTGGAAAAAATTACAGTTTGAGGATAATCCCATTATCTCTGGACAAATCTTCTTAAGGTTATAATGCCTCCTTGACTGCTGGGATTTTTCTTTTGTCATGCTTGCTATGTTTATGCTTAGGAAGATTGTTTCGTGATGTTTTCTTGAGATGGGTTCTTATCAATATTTTGATTTTACTACACTAGAGGGGATTTCCGGTGATGGGTGTTTGTAAAACTATGAACTTGGAGTATATTCTCTCGTATCTCCATTTGTTTTGGGCAGCATTTGATCGTTCATGTTTTTACTTTTGCTCCATTGTACGTTTAGAAACTCCAGTGGTTCAATGCTCATGAGTCTACCGACATATATACCATGTTTTCCAGATAGTGTGTATCGCTTGTGGTTTTTCGTTTGGTCTGAAAACATCCGTCAACCAGATTCTTGGTTCTTATCAATTTCCAAGATTCTTCAAATTGGTCACAATGTCGCCCAGATCCGAAAAGTTCTGGTTTTTGTTTCGCTTTCGTCTCGAATCTTTTGACCCGAAGGTGTTCGTCAAAATGCTCTCCGGTTTAGGAAACGTTTTTCTCTGAATATATATGCATATATATATATATATGTATGTATATCTCCCGACATAAGTAATTTTCAGACCTGATTCACTAATGCTCGGATGGTGTTTTTTTTCATGGCAGAAATTTTTTAGGTTTAAAGATCTGAAGATTCCTATTGAATGGGGATTTCTCTCTCTTGCCCGTTTGCGGAGCACAACGACGTGGAAGCTGGTTTGGAATCCGTCAAAGTGAAGTCCATATGTTTCGGAGACGATGACTGTAAAACTCCGACAAGATCTGTCAACTTCAACGACACAACTCACGAACCCACGATTCTGAAATCTATGGGAACTGGGAAAATGGTCGTGGAGAAGTCAGTTAGCTTCAAAGGGAGTCAACTCGAGAGGATCATATCTCTTAACAGGTCCCTCGCAACAAAGGAAGATCATAAGAAAGACAATGCCTGTGGGATTAGGGAATTGCCTGTTTGGAATCCGAGGAACCCTAAACACGAAGCAGCCATTAAATTGCAGAAAGTATACAAAAGCTTCCGTACCAGAAGAAAGCTCGCCGACTGTGCAGTTCTCGTGGAGCAAAGCTGGTTAGTTCTCTATATTTCAGTTGAAACCTGAATGTGGATTTTTGGGAAAAAAAATCACTCTCTAAGTGTTATTTTGTGTGTTAACCTCAGGTGGAAGCTCTTGGATTTTGCAGAGCTGAAGAGGAGCTCCATTTCGTTCTTTGATATCGAGAAACATGAATCTGCCCTTTCTCGCTGGTCAAGAGCTAGAACCAGAGCCGCTAAGGTATCAGTCACAAAGGTTTATACATTTTTCTGATCCTTGTTTCTTAAATCTGTTTCATATTCTTACAGAACTCTTCTCTGTTATCTGCTGAACTTTACAGGTTGGTAAAGGTCTGTCCAAAAATGGAAGAGCTCAAAAGCTCGCTTTGCAACACTGGCTAGAGGCGGTGAGTTGAGTTTTGAACTCTTCCAGCTTGTTAATTTGGGTTTTATAGTATAGTCTCATGTTATCATGCATTTTTTTGTTAACCAGATCGACCCAAGACATCGGTATGGACACAACCTGCACTTCTACTATAACAAATGGCTCCATTGCCAGAGCAGAGAGCCCTTCTTCTACTGGTATTACTTCTTCTCATCGATGTATTCTATTTTCCCTTTTCTTTCTGCCCAAAGCACCGTGCAGAAGAATCTTGAAACTGAACTTGTAGATTCGAATGGTGCAGGCTTGATATTGGAGAGGGGAAAGAGGTAAATCTCGTGGAGAAATGTCCCCGTTGGAAACTTCAACAGCAGTGCATAAAGTACCTTGGTCCGGTTAGTATCTGTTTTTTCTTGCTAGCCAAGAAATTTCCATTGAAGAGATGTAGAATGATTTCTTACTTTCTTCCTGGTTTTGTTGTGTGCAGATGGAAAGGAATGCATATGAGGTGGTTGTGAAAGACGGCAAATTCTTCTACACGCAAAGTGGAGAGATTCTTCACACAATGGATGCAGAAGATATCGATTCTAAGTGGATTTTTGTACTTAGCACATCGAAGACATTATATATCGGGAAGAAGAAAAAGGGTACGTTTCAGCATTCGAGTTTCTTGGCGGGAGGAGCTACAATTGCAGCTGGGAGACTGGTCATTGAATATGGTGTTCTTAAGGTATGGTTTATACACCCGACATATATTGTTTCTTATGTATATGTTCTGTTTCGGTTTCTGCCAGAGTTTAAGCTAAGGGTATGTTGTATCGGTATGCTTTGAAACAGGCGGTTTGGCCACACAGTGGGCATTATCAGCCGACAGAAGAGAATTTCATGGATTTTCTCTCCTTCCTCAGAGAGAACAATATTGATATCACCGATGTGAAGGTAAGATAGATACATCATCATCATCATCATGTTAGAGTATCGGCTTTTCTTCTGGAGAGTCTTGTACTTGGGAATGGTTTTTCCAAAGATAACGCTGTTGGATATTCATATGATGGTTTTTGTTATGTTCCAGATGAGTTCAACTGATGAGGATGAGTTCTCTATTCACAAACAAAGAAGCACCCATATAAGAAACCACTCTTTGGAAGAAGACTTAACACAAGTGCTGGACTGTGTAGAGACCGAAACGATCAGTACATTTCAAGACAAACCCGATTCAGGAATAGAAGAAACAAATCCGGTGATCAAACATTCAAAGTCAAGAACGTTGCCTGATCAAGGAATACCGAAAAAGGTCGAATCTTTCAGCACATATGATGAAGAAAACCGATCAATGGAGCCGAATCATGGCCAAATCTCTGAAGGGTATGACTCAGCTGACGAAGAAGAAGAAGAAGACGAGGAAGAGATGCTTGACAATATAGATCAAGAATCAAAGCCTCTTGAGTTGAACACAGCCGGAGAAGAAACCCGGGAGCGAGAAGTAGTGAACATACCAGAGGAATCAATCCTAAAGAGGATCAATTCTAAGAAGGAAACGAAATCTCTGCAACTGGGGAAACAACTATCATGCAAATGGACAACAGGAGCAGGGCCGAGGATCGGTTGTGTAAGAGATTATCCATCTGAGCTTCAGTTTCGGGCACTCGAACAAGTGAACTTGTCTCCGAGAAGTGATTCGGTCTCAAGATCTTGTTTCTCGCCCCAAGCCCCAAACCCTACCCATTTGTCCCCCGCCATGGAGAGGGATTACACATCATGACTGAGTATTTTTTTTTTGTCAGTTCCTTAATTTCTTCCTGATCTATTCTTTTTGTGTGAATAGAGAAAGATGACATAGGGATTCTTTTTTCTCTCTCTTCTTTAACAGCCCACTGCGGTTTTCATTTGTTTATTCGGTTTCTTGTTGTCCAAGAAACAGCAGAAATGTAAGATTTTTTTATATGGCTTAGTGAAGAACATCTTTCCCGGCCCGAGAAAAGTTTCGCCATAGTTTACATAACGTTCTTAGACATATTTTTACTCGACAAATATATTTTGCTTCGTTATCGTAGGAAGCGGATAATTTTCTTTCACAGATAATTGAAATGAGTTTGTTCTCTTTTGGTTAGGTTTACTGAGGATTCACATTTGGATTGGTGTATCAAATCAAATTATATATATGAAAGAAATCCACTGTAAAATAAGTTTTCCATAAACCACTGCTGTGGCCGGAGACAGAGAGAGAGGGCTCACCACTCTCATTTTACGTGTCCGAGAGCGAAGACGCGGAAGGTGGTTCACGTTTTGCTTCTTCTAAGCCTCGTCAAGGACAACCTCGTTCTTTGTTCAAGCTGCTCTCTTTTCCGTTTTTTCTGCTTTCCCTTTCCATTTTGGCGGAAATCAACAACTAGGTTTCTGGGTTTGATCGGATTCCTCTGATCGAGTCCTCATCTGTTCTCGATGTGTTCAAAGCTTGGGTTTTTTCGATCTGGGTTCCGTTGAAATTTCTCGTTTTTTTTTCGTCTGTGAGTTCGGTGGCTCTTTGAAGATGGATCTATCTTCTCAGCGTCAGTCCCCAAACGGGCCGAGGGGGTTTCGACTTCAGGCTCCATTGGTAAGCTTCATCAGTGTTCTTCCTTCGGCATTTTCATGGCAGGTCTCACGGAATTCATGAGAATTCGTGTATACCCAGTTTCGAATTCTCCGTCACGTCGACGGGATTTCTGTTTGGTTGCTGTGAAACTTCTGAAACATGGTCTGTTCTGCTTCACGTAGCTGAATTTCGTTTCTTTATATAAGAACCCTATCTTATTTCACAATTTGGGTCGTAATTGCTCTGAATTCGAAGTCTTTTTTAGCTGTGCAGCATTGTCTGCCCTAATCTGCGTTTAATGTCGAAGTAGTTTTGTCCTAATGGGTCTTCTAGTTCGCAACTCTTTCTCCAGGTTATCAAATGCTCTACTTTGGGCATTCCCCTGACCTGAAATATTTGTAATTAGTAAGAAACTACTTTTGTTCTTCTTCCTCCCAGTTTGTGATATCGTTTTTAATCTCAACTTGTGACGATTTGTAATTTTTTCCAGACAAAGATTGCATTGCTCGCTCTTGGCCAGTTGTTTCTTTTTTGCATCATGGTGATAGATAGAATGCTTCCTGTTTATTCTGCTGCTGCTGTGATTTGCCCGATTTGCTATATGCCTTTAGTTCTTGGCTTCTTTAGCATTGTCGGTTAGGACATTTAGCTCTGCTTGCCCTCTGATGTGGGGATCTTGCAGGTGGATTCTGTATATTGCTATTGCAAGGTAGATGCTGGTCTGAAGACTGTAGTAGCGGCAAGGAAGTTTGTCCATGGATCAAAGCTTTGTATCCAACCAGATATCAATCCTAATGCGCATAGGCGTAAGAACTCACGGAGGGAGAGGACAAGAGTACAACCACTGCTCCTCCCTGGCCTTCCTGATGATCTTCCCGTTGCTTGCCTCATCGGGGTCCCCCGGTCAGAGCATAGAAAACCCTGATGAGTTTGTAAGAGATGGTATCGGCTTGTTTCCGGAAACTTCTTTAATTCTCAGAGGAAACTCCTCAGGATGGCGGAAGAGTGGGTTTATGTCCTCAAAAGTGATCATGATGATGGGAAGATCTCGTGGAATACTTTGGATCCGGTCTACCAGCTCTAGCGGCCGCTTCCATCTGTCCCCAGGGAATACTCCAAGGCTGTAGGGTTTGGTTGTGCTGTTCTAAGCGGCTGTCATCTATACTTGTTTGATGGGAACGATCCTCAGGGACTATGAGAAGTCTCGTTTTCTACGATGCTAGGACAAACAAGTGGCGGAGGGCACCTGATATGCTCAGGAAACGCAATTACTTCATATCTTGTGTTATAAAGAATTGTCTGTATGTAGCGAGCGGGGGATGTGAAGGAATTCAACATTATCTTTCCTCGGCTGAGGTTTATGATCCAAACAAGAATAGGCGGAGTTTCATTGCTGATATCATCCCGGCAATGTTGCCCCTTTTCGGTGCGGTTTATGAGTGGAAGTGGTTTCTCAAGGGCAGCGGGCCTCGCCAAGTAAACATGAGTGCAGCATACGACCCAGAAACTAATTCCTGGAACTGGGTCTGGGATGGAATGGTGAATGGCCGGCTAAGCCCTTACCTTTCTAAACGAGCGCCTTTATGCGTTGGACGGTGGAGGTGGCTGCAGTGTACGATGGATCCACGAATTCATGGAACAAGTTCATGGACAGCAAGCTCCATCAAATCTTCAGGTCGCTCGACGCTGAGGCTCTTGTCCACTCGGTGGTAGGCTTTGTATTATCTGGGACGACATGAGCATGAGTCTGGTCGATGTGTGGAGCCCTGACAAGAGCAGCACCCACACTCGCCTGTGGGAGAACATAGCTGGAAAAGGCCATTCCAAGGGAATTCTCAGGACAATATGGTCGACTATCACCGGTAGATCATTGAAAAGCTATATTGTGCATTGCCAGGTACTTCAAGCTTGAAAAGTCTTCAACTTTATCCATGGAAGCCATGTTCAGAGGATCCATGGATGAAAACTGGAACGCCCCTCAACGCATTTTGCCCTTTGTTTGCCTTAGCTTCCATGTTCGTCAAAATCTTAGGAACATTGTATGGATGGTTTAGCATTGTTGCCTCTGTTCTGTTTCTGTTCACATGTTTTGTGATTGTGAATGGGGGCAATATTAGGGCAACATGTTCCTCCATTGTTATCTTCCGAATCAAATCCAGTTCTGATCAATCTGCTTCAGACCGAAGTACAGTTAACTACAGAACACAGATGATAAAGACGATGGATACTGGTAACAAAGCACAAATCTTTTATACGTGAGAGGATCATTACATCGAATCAACGGCATCCGAATCCGAGGCGGATTGAACCAACCCAGATTCTTCTTCAAAAGCCGATTTGTTCATGCAAGTCGGAACATCCTCGAACAACTTCGCCGGCAACTTCTCCGACAAGAACCCGACGGTGAACGCTATCGTGCCCGAACTCGGATCCGATTCCATCGCCGTAATGGGTACCCAAACGAAGAGTTTCTTCGCCTGGATTCCTTCGACGTCCTTCACGGATCCATAGCTGAGCTTTCCGGAGATCTTCTTGTCATAGAAGGCGAGCTCGTCGCCGAATCGGACATAGCAATCGGAACGAAGCTTGACGGTGAAATCGCCGTCGTTTGAGATAGCGAAAGACTTCACATTATCAGGGAGAAGACCTTTCGGAAATCCGTACGACGGGAGAAGATCGTGGATGTCGGCGGCGGCGGAGGAGGAGGAAGATGGACGGTCGAGATCGGCGAAGGACAAGGAGGTGAAGGAGCAGGAGAGGACCTGGCGACCGTCGGATAGGGATGGGATTGGACGGCGCAGATTAAGAGAGAAGGAAAGGGGAGAGAGAGAGAGGAAGAGAGAGAGGAGGAGAGAGAGTGTTGCAACGGGGGCCATTGGTGGAGAAATTTTACTCGAATACCATTCGGTCGCATCTATTTCACTTGTATATCAGAAAAAACATAACACTTTTTTTTATTTAAAAAGACGAAATTATTTTTAATGAATACATGATTTTTATCCGTTCGAAAACAACTTCGTTATTACGACTTCGTAATTAATTCTAAATATAGTTACAATTGATTCTAAAAAAGATGGCAAAAAAATCATCTCTCTTAATGGTATACCAGTTATATGTTAGTCGTAATAAAGTCGTAAAAAATAAAAGGAAAAAGGTATTTCAGACTTTTCAACCGAAAAGTGGGTTAAAATTGAAATTTTTTTTTCGATGGTATACGTTGAAATAGATGCGACCCAAGTGGATTATTTGAATAAAATTCCCGATTGGTGGCTGAGGGTTGAAGGGAGCTTGAGTTCGCCTGTGAGGAGAGAGGGCTGGGGAGTAATTTAAGAGAAGATGAAGGGCAAGATGGGAATAATAAAAGTTTGTGAGGATGAGATTTCGTTTGTAGTTTGACTCCCCTTTGAAGAATTGTACAAATTTCAACGAGTTTGATTATACGTTATTTTAATACAACTACCCAAATTCTCAAGTCACCAAAACTCATATTAAAATTTGAATTCCTGGACCCCATCTTCTTGCATTAAATGGAAAAAAATACAGACTAGTTTTTTTTTTTTTATATAAAAATCATTTCATTTCATTTCCATTTTCATTTTTCAGATTCATTTCAATATTTGTTAGGTTCGATTTGAATTCCATCTTTAAAAATTATCTTTTAAAACATGCTCGTTCATTTTTTTTCATTGTTTACGTATTTGTTAAAGATAGATTAATAATATCCAATCATCTTTTCGTATATAATTATATATTATTTATTACTTTCTTATTGAATTTTTTTTTAATCTCAAACTCTAATATCTATTTCTAGACAATATATTTGAATCGTTGATATATAAAGGATACTCTGAGATTTTATTTTTTTTATATGCGAAGTGATGAAAAATAATAATGAATAGACACATGAATCTTTTATTATGTTTTAAGTTTTAGAATTTTAAAAATAAGATGAAGCTTTTTGTAGACAGAGCATTGCGCTATATTGGGCCTCGTTTAGAAGGCCTTTTTACATTTTAGGCCCATGTATTGGGCCCACATGGATAAAAAGGCATAAAATCACCGTTTAAGACAGACCACGTGTCCTGTTATTAAAAACCCAAACATAGAGTGTTTTGGCCGATCAATCCGAATCTATATATATAAAAGTACAGTTTCACTCTAGCTGAATGACACGTGTCCTAGAATATGAAAAGATTATAGGGTCAAAATAGATTCAATTAAAATTTCTTGGAAAAATAGATTCAATTAAGTTATTATTATTTTTAATTCTATGGTTCATTCACTAGAAGACGGAGGATCCAAATGCACTGTCGTCTTGGGCTTGATGACATTATCTAATCTTTCTTTTTCCTTTTTTGTAAATTATTTAATTCTCATACACTCTCTTTTTCCTTTTTTTGTGTGATACACTCATTAGGTTACAAATCAAATAATGAATACAAAAGTTACAAATTATGCAATGAATTGAGGAAGAATTACCTTGCATTGAATTAAAAACTTCATGATTTCTGTACTAGAAGATATTCACGTATATAATAACCAAATTCAATTAATTTTAATCACATTCAATTAATTTTGATATATGACTCAATTGTCAGATATAAATATCATTTATTATTTCCTTTAAACTACACATATAGAATTAATTCTTGAAATTGTCTATAAATTGGATAGTTTTTTCCACGGCAGAAGCAAGTATCTCACTTTGCAATTCTATCGAAACTTTGGTAAGAGGCCAATATGTTACGTCAAAACATATTAGAATTTCCATTGTATAATCTTCTAATTTATTATTATTAGCTTTTATTTTTATTTCTTAATTTTTGTCTCTTCATAAAAATTCTTTTTTACTATCTCTCTCTATCCTAATAAGCCAATACGTTCCATCAAACCATATTAGGATTCCCATTATATAATATTCTATTTAATTTATTATTATTAGTATTTAATTTTTTCCGTCTCTCTTTGTTCTTTGTTCTAAATACTAATATACTTTATGTATTTGTATATACACATAAATCATATATATTATTAGCTTTGAGTGCATGGTCTCAAAATTCTCAGTTTTTTATTTTAAAGTTGGCGATATGAATACTGCTCAACGAATGGATGTCAAATTTGGCCATGAGGTATGTTGTTTATTTTTTAGTTTTTATGTTATTATGATGTCTTATGTTGATTTATTTTTTACTCTCCAGATTTTTCTGATATCTTTTGCTAGATTACAAAAGATACGTTATCAATTTTATTTTTTATATAATAAATTATATATCATCATATCATATATATATATATATAAGTACAAATGGGAGCATAACACGTGTCAACGTGTCAATAAGGAGAATATGAAAAAATTTTGTTTTTGTCTTCTCATTATGGAATCAAATCTCAGAGATACAAATTACGAATAGTTTAATTATATGTGCAGTAATCACAAAGTCCGATGAGCCATATGAAGTTAAGTGAACTATTGTGTCTGTATATATATTTATTTAAGTTCCAATGAATTTTACGAAAATCACATAACCAAAACCAATGGGTTTTTTTTATCACATCCAATCTATTAGTTTTACATCATATCATATCATATCATATATTTCGTTTAACGGGAATATCACACGTGTCGTATTATTGATAATGTGAAGGGTTATAAGTAATACATTCTTTTTTATGCATAATGTCAAACGTTACAAATTACGTAATGAATTCTTTTCATTAATTCTCCATACATCAACAAAAATACCAGGAGAGAAAAGATATGATGTATTGTACGAAAACTATAGTCATTTATTAATTTCTTCCGGACTTTTAAAAAAATCATATAATCTAATTAAAAAGTTAAATTTTAATATGGGATACAGATTCTTTTCATGTATGAATAATGAATAGTCATATTAAATACATTAACTTACATTAGCTGAATGACACAGTTTGTTGGTATATATGTTTTTTATATTTGTTTAGTAAGAATTTTTTAATTTGCTTTGATACTAATGAACATATCACTTTTGTCAAACTTTAAATTGAATATGTTTTTATTTTTTATTTTTTGTTTAAACTGTTTGTTTTTTATATTTGATTAGTAGTATTATTCTGAATTTATTTTGATGACAATGAAGATTAATCAGACAAATATATCATTTGGTTAGTGTTATAAATTTGTTAAATGCAAGTAAACATAACATTTCATTGGTACCAAAACAGATATTTAATTTTTTATATTTATATCAATATATATTATAGGTTATATATAGAAAGTAAAAAAAATTGTTTTTGTTTACCGACTTTTGTTTAACATGTTTGTTATATATATATATATAATTTTTTTTAAGTTTACTAACAATGAATCACTGGTTATCTTATTCTCCACATCTATATATATAAAAGTTTTATTTAGAACAATTTGGTGGATCGACCTAAACATCACTTATGTTGCATTTTGTTAAATTTTTATTAATTTATATAAAATATAATATTTATCTGCTAATCATATTTTTAATATTTTAAATATGATATCCCACCAATTTTTGTGTGTAAATACATATATTATTTCATTCAACGATGCCTAATTCATATAAATATAATGAATAAATATGTTATATTGTAAATAATGTTGTTATTGATCAAATAAAATTTATTGCAGGAATATAAAAATCAGATGCATCCAGTGATATCAACCCATGTTGGATTGGATCAGATGAGTATACATCATAGTTATCGGTGTATTATGGTCAGATTTCTACGAATATGGGATGAACGAAATCCTTTCAATGGGAATAGGTTCAATGGCATCGGATTCTTATTAATTGATGAAAATGTACGTTCTAATTAATATTGATTTTCTTATACTATGTTTATTAAAAATCTAATATTTTCTACTTATAATGTTGCAGGAAAATGTTGTTGAAGGAAAAATATTTGAGGATCATGCAGAAAATTTTAAAAATATAATAAACGAGAGAGATATATTTTTAATCAGACATTTCAAGATTCTACCAAATAAATATATATACAAATTAACGAACAGTAAATTTCGTATTTATTTTACAGAATATACTACTATTGAAAAAGTTATTGTAACTACTTATAATATTGTCAAAGAAAAATTTCGAATATGTTTGTACGATGATTTGTTGGCGTTGGCAAACAAAAAACACGATCTACCAGGTATGTGATAACATAAAAAAACCCAAAAAGAAAATATTGGATTTTATAATTAATATATTCTCTAATGTTGCAGATATTATTGGAGTTTTAGTCGCAATACAAGGATCAAATTTACGAATGCCGTCGTCAACTCAGAAAATTATTCTTCGTTTATTATTGGAAGAGTAAGTTTTCATATTTCATTTATACTGCAAAAAATATCATTTTATAAAATTTTAACTAAATTAGTTTTATACAAACTAACATATAATTTCAATTTAAAAACCAGCAACAATATCGTCAAGCTTTCGGTATGGGATGATCTCGCTGCTGAAATCCGTTCACAAATTCATAGATTGAATGTCAGAAAAAGTATCGCAGTCATTACGGGTGTAAATCCAAAGATTATTCACGGTAACTATTGAACACAAATTAATTTCTAAATATTTAATAGATTAATATTTAAAAACCATTATTATTGTTATATTGAGTTTACTAATACATTTTATGTATCAGGTGCTCTATCACTCAACACATCAACATCTACAAAGATTTACATAGATGAAAAATTGAACATTATCAAAAATTTTCGTTTGAGGTAAATAAATTAGAGAATATTCTTGAAAAAAATCTATATTTATAATATTTACCAAGATAATTTTTATTATTACCTAATAACTGAATTTTTGGCAGGCATTGAAGAAAGTCACATCAGTACTAAAAACAACCATAATAAATCAGTTACAGTGAAATGGTAAAATATCTATGGAGTAATAACAATATTGTGTCATTGATTTAATTCTGTTTGCAAAAAAAATATAATAATGTTTTTATATTATTATTACAGTTTTCTATTTATATTTAGTTCAACTCAAACAATTTACCTTAGTTTTGGTTCTAATCATAATAACAAATTAAATATAAATATAAACGTCAAGTGTTTCATATCATACTACAACTCAAAATCATCATAAAATCATTACAATCAACCAAACCAATTGATTTAATAAGAACAAAAAAATATTCAATTTTAATTTATTGACGTGGATGTTCACGTAGTAAATTTTAATTATCTGTCCTATATTTACTTATCGCAATTCACCAAAATTTAACGTCATTGGGGATGGTGTAGAAAATTGTTAAACATTTTGAAATTTGAGATTTTAAGCCGGTACGATATACACAGATTATTACCTAGATTAAAAATAAAGATATAAAAATAAAAACGATCAAAAAAATATAGAAAATGATAAAAGAAACATATAAAGAAAGAAAATAGTGGTAATACGAATATCTATAAATTTTATAAAATTTATAAATAAATTATATTTTGTTAATTATAGAATGGGATATAATATCTCACACTATTATATTTAGATTCATCCTTACCATCTTATTATTTTCACTCTATGACAAAAAAATATTTTAATAGAATAATTTATATGATAAATTTAAAACAAAATTTATTATATTTAATTTAAAATATAAAAATTATTTAAATTCGTAAATATTCAGCCCGCGCGATTCGCGCGGGTCATTACCTAGTCAAGAATAAAAAGAACAGATACAGATGAAACAGTTGCATGCATACATGTTACATATACATACATACATATATATGCGTGTGTGTGTGTGCATGCATGCATGTGGTGGGATATGGTATCATGGAGATGGGGCCATGCATGTTATTAATTAATAAAAGAGAGTAGTGAAGCGGTGAGAGAGGAAGAGAGCATGAATTAAGGTGAAAACGGCCAACCAACTCTCTCTCTTGTCTCCGTTACTCTTCTCCGACGCTGCTTCTGCTCCTTGCGCCTCTCTTGCCCCTTTCACATCTTCATTCGTTTTGTATAAATCTCTATCCGTACATACATACACACACATATACATATACATACACACACTGAGAGGAATTAACTAACCTTTGGGCTTAGGTGATGAGGAAGTGGAGTTGGCGTTTCCCTCTATCTTTCCTAAGCTCTCAAACTCCTTAGCCTCTGGTGAGTTTGGGGGTAAATGCAAAAGAGCTGTCCCCATAGCATATACACACACATTATATACATGATTTCACCAAATCATACACACAAAATTCCGTATATACCCTGAATTTTAACGGAAAGAAAAGCCGAGATAAACGATGATTCCAACGAGTGAAATATATACATATATATATATATACACACACAAGATATATACTTACAGGTACAGGCGGAGATATTAGGAGAAGACTGATGGCAAAGGGTGGGGAGAAGAACGGCTAAGGTGGCATTGATCTTGAGGCCGAGCTGAGGATCATTGCGATCTTTGATGAGAATACATATACACTTGCGGCTCTTGTCGACTACGTCCTTGAAACCAGCGCAGCAATCTCTTGTCGGGGCCTTCGCTTCTCCTCCGACGTACGGAAGACACGTGGCAAGCCCCACCAGCTGTTCCGAACACTCGGCTCTGTCTTGAGCAAGATCCGAGTTCCCAGACCCTAGGAGGAGGAACGCCGCCATTATCCACATCTCCCAGCTCCTTCTTGATCTTTCCATATGGTGTAAGTGGTCTTTTCTTTTTGTTTGGTGATCAGTTACTCTCGAGTATAATGATAACAATAATAATGTGGCTTTGTGTGATCATGTGTGTGTGTGTATATATATATATATATATATAGAGAGAGAGAGAGAGAGAGTGTATTGATTATGAAGATGATGGGAATTTACTGCAGCACTACTAACTCATTGCTGTGTGATTGTGCCAAGACAAGATGATACATACGTATACGTGTAATATACATATATTACACGTGAGAGTGATTATAAAGTAGATGAAAAGTATCTAATAAAATATTAATTTTATTAATCAAAATAAATTGTAGACGATTATGAAACACGCCTTTCGTCTCTTTTTTTTTTTATTTATGGGTAGTAAATTTTTTATAAAAAAAAATGATGTTTTACTGCGCCATATCCAATATTGCATTTCAATATTTTACATTAGAAACCCGGATATCCAAACAAATATAGCTTTTAAAAATCAATTATCGAGTTAGGGTTAGGGATTGAGCCCTACCATATTTATATATACGAGAAATATAAACCGACATTAGCTACAGAAGGGAAGAGAGATATAACTAACTACCACCGGTCTCTGTTGTCAGGTCCCCATGTCATAAAAGAAAGGCGTATAAAAGGAGACAACCCCAACGTCACCGACAGTTCCTGGAACCCTACACAACTCCAACACTGTATGTATCCATAAACATAAGTTCCACATCACCTTTTTTTTGTAAAAGAAGATACCCAAAGAGAAAAGGGTCGTCAACAATGATATTCTGACATGTAAACGTTCTTTTGGAGAGTGGGAGAGAGAGAGAGATGTGGACCTTATTTTATGTACAACGCCATGCGTATGTGTTATTACATTTTCACGAACCGGACGTCGTTCTGGCCAAAGGCGGTGCCGCAGCCAGGACATTTCCGGTGCCTGATCTCTAGGCTCCTTTGGATGCATTGGTTGCAGAAGAGGTGGTAGCATTTCACTATCACCACCTGCATTTTATCAGCACAGTAAGAAATGTTTCATTCCCTTCCCTCTCGGTGATGGCACCAGGATGATGTATTATGTGTGGTGGTGATAGAAAAAGGATGAGGATGTGCATGGCGATGAGAGGACAAGATGACGGAAGTGGTTGATACTGATAGAGATGACGACCCAATGCCATGAGAAAAACAGAACATGATGATGAGACATGCTGATGACATATACAAGGATGATGCATGACGTTGTTTGCATGAGGAGGACCACATCCAAACTCACACAGGAGTAGCATAGCTAACAAAACCATGACTCATGCAAACAAGCAAGTCAGCTCATAAAGAGTAAAAGAAAGCTAAAAAATTTACCTCCTTAGGCCGATCAAAGCAGACGCCACACTTAAGGATGTTTTTGCAGTTCTTTATCTCTTCCTGTAGTCTCTGTATCGCGGCTTCTACACTCTCGGAACTCAACTCAGCAAGCTCCTTGTTTAACTCAATCAGCTCTTCCTCGAGCTTCTTCTTCTCACTCCTGCCCACCAAAGATATAATAACCGTTTTCATCGCGTGCATAAGTACTTGAACGTGAAGACCCATGTGTTACTATGAGAAAGATGAAGAGATGAAATTAACCAGAAACTCATTTTTAGACCCACCTTTCATCATCCAATTTTATTTTGATGTTATTAGTCAACCGGCTGATCTGCTCATACTCCTTCTCAGATGAAGATATAGCCGACTTGAGCCACTTATATTCCTTTTCAGAGTCAGCTAATTCCCATTTGGTGGTTTCGAGACTGATAGCAAGGTGACGGTCTTCTTGAATCAATTTGTAAGCCTCAGACAGACAACCTTTCATCTGTAATCTCAAACCATTAGGGTGGTCAGCATTTGACACTGTTTGATAAAGAATGCCTTGTGACAGCATATATAGATTATACCTGTTCTTCATTATGTGCAATCCTTGCTTTTAGAGATTCTACTGATGCATTAACTTGTTGAAGCTGCTTTGCCATTGCTTGCTTCTCAGATAACAGAATGCTGTAAGCATTCTTTGTTTTGACACTTTCTGAAACAAGCTGCATCATAAAATAAAATCCAGAACTGATAATCCACCAAGGGGTCGAACTAAGAAAATATCATAAAAGAAATAAAAAGGATATCAATATCAAAGCATTCGATAAACAATAAAACCAACCTTGATATTATAATCGTCCCTCTCAGTCACCTGCTGCAACAAATGTTGGTTCTGTGTCTGCATGTCTTCATAGGCTTGACCAACAGTCTGAAGGAAATGAATGACCGATGAATCAAATGGGAAAAAAACGGCTCCGGCATTTCAATGCCGAATAGATAACAAGAGTATACAAAATCGGGAAAAAAGATGAGCAGGGCAACGGGAGAGTATACCTCCATTTCAGCCATTGATGCCTCTGCTTCTTGCTCTTTGATTCTAATAGCCTCCTTAAGTTCAAGAACCTCCCTGCAAAGGAAGAACAGTGTCACACTAACAAATGACCACGATCTATAAACAACATACTGTCAAATGAAAGGGGTTGCTTCTTCCCTCATCCCGGAAGTGAAACCGAAAACGTATGACTTTTAAAAGCAGCTGGTAAAAACATCAGAAAGTACCTTTCTGAAACATCTAGTTGAGACCTTAATTCAGCTATTTCGGCCTTAGCTGTGGCAAGCCTTTTTTGGCAAGCAGCTTCAGTCTCATTAGCAGCTTTCACTCTCAATTCCAGAAAATGTTCATCTAGAGCATTTTTCAGCTGTTCAGCTTGGGCATGAGCCCTGCGTTCTGATTCCTTAATTTCTGCCAATGATCTGAAATTGGAAAAGTAGATTTTCAACTCTGTTGATTTTCATCTGGATAAAAGCTATAGCATATGACAAGAAAATGCATACTTTTACTGGGAGTCAAATGATCCCTAGACGATCACGAGTCAGTCTAGAGTATAGATTTTCTCTAACCTTCAAAATTTCATATTGCCAAAAATATACAACCCAAAAGATTACCACAGATAAAAGTTACGTAAACATCAGAGTACCATTCGCCCGGTATCATATTAGACCTTTACAATACGCAATGCCCAATTTGATATTAAAAAAGTAGAATCACCTAACGTCTTCATATGGCATGGAGATGAGGAGAGAGCTCACTGCATAATGATAAAATCAAACCATAGTACATACCTTTCATCATTACATTCACGGGTATAGATGCTTGCTAGATTTTGCAGCTCTAATTTTTCTTTCATCATTTCCTCGATCTGCAACATAATCATTAACCCACAACAATTTCATAGCCAGATTTTCCAGACTTCCAGTATTCAGCGAATTTCTAATCAATCTCGCCAGTTTCAGTGTGTATGTGTGTGTATCCAGCATGCTGATCAGTGAAAGTGCGACATACATCTTAACATTCTCTCGGGAAAAGAGTAAAAAGAAGTTGTCTCCTAATTGAGCGTAATATTTTTTATATTCGATATTAACACGCTTAGGACAACATGGATTCCATACGAAATCGTTCACCATGATAGATGATTATGTGGTTACTTTCTATAATAAGTAAAATAACATTATTCTGATATAGAAAGAAACAAGATCAATGATATAGATAAAAAGCTGATTACCACCTCATACTAGAATGCAAAAGTTACCCGTTACACTCAGATTACAATGTAATAGCACCTCATACTAGAATGCTTTGAATTAAAAGATGTGAGTTCCTTATGATTTTGTAGTTTGTGTTGGTATGTTTTGTTGTAATTGAAAGATTTGAAGTTCTAGTTTACACTACTAAGGAAATCACATGAATAACTTATTGTTATCTGTATCTTCACATGTTGAATTGTTGCATTGTAAATAACGCAATTTACTAGAGAACAGTAATCCAATAAAAAGAATGAAGTAGGATTGGGTCAAAAGAAAAACTGACAAGAGCTTTGAGGGATTTAATCTCCTCGATCTGTTCAGCGCATGTATCTTCTAATCCCTTCTGTTCATTCGCCTGTGTTAACATGAAGAGATTCAGGATTTCAGGAAATAGTCACTCTGGCTGGACTAATTGAACACTAAAAGAGTTTAAACACACTGAAGAAAAAGGCACATATGTACAGGATACCACAATAACCAATACCTAAGGGCAAACAAGATATGAATATAAGGAAAGAGAGAGCGATAGAATCGATTCTTTGTCCACTAATTCATCCTCTGAGAATTGTTTATAAAGAATTAGGTGTTAGTAAATAAGCACATCATCTCTTCAAGGAAAGGAAATGGTTACTAGATAAGGAAAACGTTTTCTTTCTTATAGGACCTGTAGGTATTCTATATTCAACAAGTGAATTTGTTCTGCCTTAGACTGCATGAAGAAGCATGGAGGCATACAAAAAGTAGATTAGTTTGAAATGTTCATACGTCCCATCTTTCTAGCAATGTGGAAAGACGTGCCCAAAACTATTAATAGAGTAACATTATCATTTTCAAAAATACCTTTGCTTAGCTTCTTTGAAAACTTTAAAATCTAACCAGTAATTCATGTAAGTCGCCAGTAATCCATTCACATCATAATGCAGCACAGCCATATTGATGGTATATATATATATATGAAACTGAATAAGGCCTTCAGAACTGCGGTTTAGTTCAAACCTTGTTAGTTAAAGAAGCGCTCAGTGACTGAGCTTGCTCGCGCAAGGAAAGAGCTTCATGTGCAGTTTCCTTCCATCGATTCAACTGAGCTTCTATCATTTCCATCTCCTTAGACAAGGCCGATGCCATTACAATTATCTCTGTTTTGATATCCTTCCGTTCTGAAACATGGAACACTTATCTCAAGAACAGAAACCTAGAGCATCACATAAGTGACAAGTACTGATAAAGAATTGACATCACCTGAATCTTGAATAGCTTCTTCCAGTTTAAGTTCTAGATCATTCTTTTCAATTATAAATCTCTGTAGCTGCTGTTCCAGATCTTCTATCCTAGAATCGACACTAGTGGTTTTAGGGTTAGCAGCCTCCAAAGACTCTGCTCTTACATTCAGCTCCTTCTCCCGCCTCATTACAAAAGACCTTTCCGCCTAAATTATTGCAAACACAAGAACCGATCAAGAAATTTCTTAACTTATGAGGGGGAACCAACAAAATGAATAAGCAACTGACCTGAAGGGAATCAGTCAAAATTTTGTACCGATCCAGTTCAACAGTCCAATGATGAAGTTGATCATTGATCAAATTGTACAGTTTAGAAGAGTATATATACTGGTCATCCTTTAGTTCATTCTGCATCCATACAGTGAAAACTATGATCCTCAAAAAACTCACTGTCATGAAAGTTACTGTACCAAGGTTTTAGTATACCTCGATATCTTGGCATTGACTTGACAATGAAAGATTATACTCTTGTGCATCTTGAAGCTCAGAAAGTCGACCTTCTGCCACTATCTGCAGTATTTATCAAAAACAGTTGAAAACACGGCGCTAACCTTACACATGAGGGAGAAAGGGATACACAAGCAAAGACGAGTCAGTCTATCCAATGGCTAGTACCTTAATCTCTTCAATTGATTCCTTCAATTCACGCAACTTCATTTTATCTACAGGCTTCTCAGGAGATAGGCTTCCATTTGCAGTTACTGGTGTAGTTGCCTGAGATTCATATGCAGCATCCTTTTGCATTTTCAAGTTTATCAATTTTCTTCTGTTTTCTTCGAGTTCGGCCTTGATCTCTTCCAATTGACCTACCATTGTCAAAGGCAAGGCATTATTACATACTCAGGAGAATTACGAAATGTCCACCGTATCCACGTTCACATTTCGCCGTTCGGAAACAAATATGGTGCTGAATTTCTCATGTTGTTTAACCTTTTAGGTGTTTAAGCTCAGATTGATCTGTCGAGTGGCAGCTAATATATGCCTGAATCTCCTCAGCACATTCTTTGTGCCTCAAATGCAAAGCATCAATCACCTCACGCAAAGTTTTGGCCTCTTCATTCATCAAATCATCAATTTTAGACAACTGGATGATGGCATCTGAAAAACAAACTTTTGTGACTTATCTCATAAACGATGAAAAAAAAAATCTCATAATGGGTATACCAACTAACCTTCGGCTGATTTTCCAGCATTTAAATTCTGTGCTATGCTTTCAACTTTAGCTTTCTGAGTGGCAATGGTATCTTTGAAAAGTCTCATCAACTCCATCGTAAAGGAATGACGTAAACCAAGAGCTTCTTCAACTTTTCTTACGACTTCATCACTGTTACTAGTTTCAACAGAATCCACTTGTAGAAGTCTACATAGAAACATTTCATCAGCGGCGCATGGTGGAACTGAACCTATATAACATTCAGACAAGATCTTCAATAGGTGCATTCTAACTTGAGCAGCTACTATAAGTACCAGCAAGAACTCGTATCGATACCTCGCTTTTTCTCTGCTTGATCCAAATACTTTAATGCTTCTGGTCCGGCACCAGCACGTGCTCCAAGCAATGTCAGATCATCAACCAACTAAAAAATCCACAGAGCTTTCAAATTAAACAAAATTTTGATGCAAATGATCATTCTACACTGGCCAAAGGAACATATGAAGGCATGAAAAACACGACATTAAGTATTCCACACCTGATTCCATAGCCCGTTAACTGAGATAAGCTCGTCATCATAAGAGGTTTGGTTGATTCGCAACTCTTCAATCTTGGTTTCAAGATCATGCAGCAGTTTCTTCTGCACATCTAACTGCTGAACGGAA